TCTGCATCGCTGACCTGGTGTCCATGACTGGAGGGGTCTTTGAGGACCTGGCATTGCTGGTGGGCCCGTGGGGGGCAGGGTTCTGGAAGGCCTCGGGGAGAGGGTTCGGGGCCCGCGTTCTGGGGGAGCAGTGATGCACTGTGTGCAGGGCGGTGTTGTGGCATCCACGTCCCCTGGGACTGTGACCTGGACACTGGGGGCTCTGACTTCCAGCCCCACAACTCCTTCCAGCTGCAGTAGAGGAGCTGCAACTTCAGGTGCGGCCCCACTGCCCGCCCGCTGCTCCTCAGCCAGGTCCTCCCCCACCTGTCCTCCTGTGGTGGCCAGGACAGACCACAGCCTGGCCCATCCCTCTGGACACTGCTGTGTGTGTGAGGGGGTCCCAGGGCAGGAAGGGTCTCTCAGCTCCAGGGCCCCAAGCACAGGCTCCATCTAGCTTCCCTCCTGAGCCCTTTGGCCTCTACCCCATCTGTCCCCACACCCTGCTGCAGCTGGGACCCCTCACCCCAGCCCTTCCTCCACTCCACCCTGCCTCCAGCACCTCCCTCCACAGCACAGGGGCTTTCTTTTTACTTTTCACTTAAGGTTTTCTTTAAAAAATTACAAAAATCTAAAGACAACTTCAAAGATTAGTCCCATGAAAACCCATACAGCCTTCATCTGGGTTCATCACATTTGTTTTTGTGTGTGTGTGGTTTTTTTTTTCACCATTCTGCCCCATTTGTTTTCTCTCTCCCTTTCTAGAGAGAACTTGGTATATTTAGATGGATTTCACAGGAACTGTTGGAAAGTATGTGGCAGATATCCAGACATTCACCCCTCTCACCGTGTCCTGAGAATGAGGACCTTCCCCAGGTGACCACTGTCCTCTCGTCACACTCAGGAAATTTAACATTGGCAGATAGATCTAATATTTAAATTTCCCCAGCTGTGCCAATAATTGCCCTGGATCTTTTATTTTTCCATCCAGGATGCACTCAAGGCTCTTGCGTTGCATGTATTGTCGTGTCTTTGAGTCTCCTAAGCAGACCTGTCCCATCCTTCTGCACCCTCATGTCACCTCGTCACCCTCACACATATGTGCTCACAGCCACTAGCCCTGGATTGACGCCCTGTGACACTACCCACTGGACCCTCCTGGCCTGGCTTTGCTGGTGTCCCCCCCCCCCCAACCCCACCTCCTTTGCAAGCATGTGGGGCTGGACACACCCATGCCCTGCCCCCTCCCCTCTGCACTCTCTGGGCTCTCCCTGTCTGCCTGGAGCTCCTTCCTGAGCCCTGGGAATCCAGCCTGGGGGTCTCCGGGCAGGAAGTCTTCCCTGGCTCCTGGTGGAGAGTGAGTGCCCCTCTCTGGACCCCATAGCCCTGGGCCTGTCCCACCTCCCCCACCCCCACTTCCAGTGTCTGTTTAGAGACCCTTCTGTCCCTTTCTCCTCAGCAGGCAGGGAGCTTCTGAGAGGCAGGTCCCAGCTTGCGTGTCCCCTGTGTCCTCAGCAGTGACACAGGGCTGAGACCCAGGACTCGGGCTGTGGGTGGATGGAGTCAGTGGATGAGTAAGATGAGGCCTGTGAGGGCCAGGGCCCCCAGGAGTGGGCAGAGCAGCCACTAGACTCTCTCCTGCCCCAGGACAGCCGCTCACTGTGCGGAGGCCTTTGGCATGGAGGCCCGGAGCCTGCTCAAACTCTACGGGATCTGCTTGAACATCCGCGTCACTGGGCAGGTACGCTCAGGCTGGGACAGGTGGGGTTGGACAGGGCTGAAGGGCAGGAGGAGGTGACAGCCACAGGCAGAGAGGCTCAGCCTAGGTGTGTCTCAGGCAGGGAAGTTCGGGCTTATCCCCACAAACCTCACTTTGGGAACTGGAGCGGCCTGGCTGGGTGTGGTGAGTCTGGCCAAGGTGACTCCCTCGGCTGCCAGCAAGCATGTGCCCCTGAGTGCCCCCCGAGCCCCCTTGGCAGACATTGAGTCTTGGGATGAGGGTTGGAGAGGCAGTGGGATGGCAGCCTGGGGGCCAGGCCATGGGTCTGCCCTGCCTCTCCCAGATCACATTCTTCTGTGACCTGCTGCTGTTGTACATGGATGGAGAAGCCCATTTCTACTGGAGGACCAAGCATGAGGAGGGGGCTGCGGGCCTGCCTGGACCCTGGGCTACACTTTGGAGGATGGTGGCTGGAGCCAGAACCTGCTGTCCTCATCTGCAGGCAAAGGCCCTGAAGGGAACTGCCAGCCCTGAGCAGACAGGTGGCTTCCCCACCCCCACATCCAGCTGCCCAGGTGCCTTAAAGGGGGCCCAGCACCTGCCCCCACTGCTGCTGCTGGGAGCTGGACACTGTCACCAGGGTGGGCCTGGCACCCACTCACTGGCCCATTCCTGAGGCCTGTAGCCTTTCTCTGCTGGTTAGGGCTTGAGGGTTGGGAGTTGGAGGGTGGGACTGGAAACGGTCGGGGCCCCACCTTGCAGACTCATGGATGAAGCCCCGGCAGGCCCAGGGCAGGGGTGGGGGAGAATTCCACCCTTCAGCTCTCAGACAGACAGTCCCTCCCCTACTCCAGCCTCGGCAGGTGCTGCCTGGGGACCGCAGAAGACAGTTTCCTGTAGAGACTGCAGGGAACAGATGCAGGGCCCTGGTCCAGTGGGGCTCCGGCTGGGGCTGGGGCTGGAGATGCTCTCCCAGGCTCCATCTCCAGTGTTCCCAGCAGCTCCCCACTCACCAGCTGTCCACCACACTGGTGGTGGTTGCCTCTGACCTTGTCTGGCTCCCAGCCCTCCTTCCCCTGCCTTCACCCCCTCACAGGGAGAGCCCCTGCCCTCTCAGCTGCCCTGCACTGGGGTCTGTGCAGCCAGAGTGCAAGGCCAGGGAGAAGGCAGCCTGACAGGAGGAGCTGTGGCAGCTGCTCTGTGCTGGGTTCCAAGGGCAGGGCCCCTCTCAGCTCTGGGCCTCGTCCATTGAGTGAGGAGTGTGGTGGCAGATGCTCCAATCCCCTAGGACTTCTTGGCACATCTTGGGCCCGTACCTGCTCAACTGATGAGCACCAGCTCCTTCCTGGTGGCAGCCCTGGGACTGTGGAGGGCTGCAATGGGGAGAAGGGGGAGGGGCTGAGTTGGTGGGCATGGGGTCCTTTGGGACCTTCCATCTGCCTCCTTGGTGACACCAGCCCCATGTCCTGGAACTTGCTTACGAGGCTCCTGGGAGCCATGGGGTGGGGGCTGTATATTTGGACACATGTCACTGCTGCCCAAGGTCACACCTGAGAATGTGTCCAGGCAGCTACCCACCCCAACCTAAGGCAACTACATGCCTACCACACTCTGACCAAGACCCCAGGTGGAGCCCAGGGGCTGGAGAGAATGTCCCTAACAGAGGACATGGAAGCCGCAGTGGGCTGGCCTGGTTCTGGCTCTGGAATCTTCCTGGGGGCCTGAGGCCTGCCTGCTGGAGAATTTCCCCATGTCCCGAGCCCACGGTCAGGAGGGGAGGGAGGGGGCTGCAGGAGCCAAGCCCTCTCTGGGGCCTAGGGAGGGGCAGGGTTTGGGGTACCCACCCCAGGGAGACATGGGACTGCCTCCTCATGGGTCCCTGGTGAGCAGGGCCATGCTGGCAGCTTGCTGGTGCAGTGACATGGGCCAGGCTGGGAAGGGGTGGCCTGGTGCTCAGGCTGGGCAGCATCTGGAATCATCTGGCACCTGGAGCCTCAGCAAAGCCTTGGGGTCCCTGCTGCCTCTCACCCCCATGGCAGCGTCCATGGAGGCGGGTTCAGAAGGGCCAGGGTGAGAGATCACGGCCCTGAGGACTGGTTATTAGAGCAGAGTCATGTGTCCCTGGTTGTCCTTGGGGCCCAGAGAAAGCGGATTTCGAGGCTGCAGAGAGTCGAGGAGTAAAGACGCCAAAGCCAGCAGCTTCCTGGGTGGTCCTCACAGGCAGGAATGGGATAAGGAGGTGTCTATGGTAGATAGAGCACAGCCTTGGGGAGACCTTTGGGGGTGCAGGGTGGGCCTGGGGACCACAAGCTTGGGCCCCACAGCCACCCTGCTGAAGTTACCTGGAGCAGGCCCAGGCACTTGTGCACCCACCTGCCCGCATGTGTCCCACCCCGAGCCTTTGTCACAAAGCACTGAGGGGGCGACAGGGAGAGAGGCTGTGGGCAGCCCTGGGCTGGGAAACAGCTGCTGCCTCAGTCTGAACGTGGGTGCACACCCAGGGGACCATGTGTGCCATGTGGGCCTGTGCCTGAGTGATGCCTGTGCCCGGGCAGGGGGGCCTCTCCATCCAGGGCAGGCCTCAGGACATGCCCTGCTCTCTGGGAGGCCTGGGAAACCGAGGGAACCCCAGGACTCCACTGCCCTTTCTAGGTGGCCTCCTTGGGGTCCAGGCTCTGCTCTCTCGTTTTGCCCCCCAGGGGACATGAGGGGAGCCTGGGAGGGAGTATGACTCTGCCCTGTCATGGACCCCTCTGTGCCTGGTGTGTGTAGCTCCACTCTGAGCTGGGCAGAGGGCAGTGGCTTGATGGCAGGACCCCAGGACCCAGGCCTGGCCATGACCCTGACTCAGGACTATCCCAGTGCTGATGCCTCCCCCTTACAGAACCTGTGTACCCTTGCTGTGGATTGGGGACAATCATCTGGTTCACAGGGGCAGGTGAGGACTCAGTGCCACAAAGAACACCACAGTGGACACAGCGGCACGCCATATGGCTGACTGGACAGTGATTATTGTGGGTCCCGGGGGTTTAGGCCTCTTCCCTGCCTGCCCTACTCCACCTGCCCAGGTAGCTGGAGTGGATCATAAACTGCAAGGTGCCGGGCAGAGTCCACCACACCAGTGCTGGCCACGGTCCACTCCCAAAGACTCGAAGCTTGGCACCTGGGCTAAGGTCCTGAGGTCCTGAGGAAGCCCTGGCATGGGCAGGCCTGCAAACTCGAGCTGCCCCCATTAGAAGGGCTGCCAGCCCCTCCAGCCTCCTGAGGAGGTGGGCGAGGGGGGGCAGGCTCCTAGTGGTCCTCATGGACTGGTGGGCTGCTCCATGTGGCTGGGCTCCTGGGCTGGTGCCTGGCTGGGGGGCTGCAGGGCCTGTACCGTCTCCTCCAGGCTGCCGTGTGGGGCAGTCAACACCGGCTGCTCCTGCTGGTTCTCCTTGCTGTGCCAGATGCCGTAGCCAAAATACACCGTGAGTCCTGCAAGGATGGCATAAGCCTGAGGGGCAGGTCCCAGCACTGCTTTCCTGCTTGCCCTCTTCCTGAAGTCCCCCAGGGTCCCAGCCTGGCCCCCACTCACCGATCAGCAGCCAGATGGAGAAGCCCAGCCAGGTCATGTAGCTCAGGTGCAGCATGAGGAAGATGTTGAAGAAGATGCTCAGGGCGGGGGTCAGGGGCACCATGGGAACCTGAGGGGACAAGGGCTGGGCTGGGCTGCAGGGAAGGGCTGCTGGCCCATGGCCTGATTTCTCTGGAGTCCCCAAAGCCTTTCTCTGCCTCTGGAGATTCCGGAGACAAGGGCCCACTTGTCAGGCAGAGAGAGGGGTGTGGGGTACTGGCCTCCCCCGCTCTGCGGCCCTGGTGCATCCTGCCATGGCAGAGGAGGAAGGGGCGAAGGGAGCTGGCTGGGCTGAGCGCGGTGGGTGCTGGCTGGAGGAAGTACCTGAAAGGTGTCCTGCCGGCGCTGCTGCTGGTGGGCCCCCAGGACGAGGAGACTGAGCAGGAACGTGATGGAGCTGAGCAGGAGCAGCAGGGTGTAGCCCCAGGGCGGGAGGTGCAGGGCTGAGTCCCTGAAGACCAGCACGCAGTCCAGGGTGATGGCCGAGACCACCAAGACACCGAGGGCCCAAGACACAGCAGCTCTAGGCCTGCCGCCACCCAGGAAGCCGAGGTAGGGCCTCAGGACTGGTCGCAGCTGCCCGGGCTCAGGGTCTGAGGTCTGTTCGGTGCCCACAGGGCTGCCTGGGTCCTGAGAACTGGATGGAGCAGACTTTCGGAAGCGTAGAATGATAATGCTGGTGGCCACGAAGGTAAAGGTCAGCAGTGTGCTGATGCAGCGTAACCAGACCAGCACCTCAATGTCCAGCAGCAGTGCCAGGAAAGCCTTGAGGACCCCAAACACCAGAATCCCCACCATGGACCCCTGCCTCTCGGAGTTAACGTGGGCAAACACCTGGAAGAAGAGCCCGTCGGCAGCCATGGCATAGACAATGCGCAGCAGTGCAAATAGGTTGCTGAGAAGGACAGTGCTCGTGGCTGTGACAGAGGGAGAGAGACTGGTCAGCATGGTGGACATGCCCACCACGGGCTGCTGTCGGGGGCCAGGACATGGGTGGCCCCTTGGGAACATGGGCTTGAGTTTTTTTGGGCTCTGAGAGTGAGCCTGAATGTTATGTGGATGCTGGATTGTTCCCCCTCACCACGCAGGAATGGGACACCCCAGTTTAGGTGACAGGCCCAATGGAGAATCTGATGAGGGCTGAGTCCCTCTGCCTGGAAGGATCTGGAAGCACATGCCCAGAACTGACATTCTGTGTACAACTAGGAGGGAAAGTGAGTAGGTCCCTCCCAAGCAGCCCGGGTGGAGAGTCTAATCATTAGCACCTTCCTGGGCCCAGGACGCAACTGGGAGTGCAGGCCCAGATGGAGATGTGTTCCCTCGAGGGTTAGGGCAGGGCCCCACCACCCTGTTCCCTCCCACCTTTCCTCTTGGAAAGGCTGCTTACCACAGGTAGAGCCAGCCACCACGATGAAGGCCGCCCAGCTATAGCCCCGCTGGTAAAAGGCATCTGCGAGTGCTGAATCAGGGTTCAGGCTGTGCCAGGGCACCATGAGTGTGAGCACAGTGGAGACAAGGATGTAGGCACCAGCTACCAGGCCAAGGGAGATCACAATGGCCATAGGCATGGCTCGCTTTGGGTTCTGGGCCTCCTCGCTGGAGGCACCAATGACATCAAAGCCCACAAAGGCATAGAAGCATGTGGCAGCACCGGTCATGATGCCGGAGAAGCCGAAGGGCGCAAAGCCGCCCTCCTCAGCACTCCAGTTGTGCGGGCGGGCCAGGACAAAACCCAGGATGATGATGAAGAGGATGACAACCAGGCTGATGGCAGAGAAGGTGCGGTTGAGGCAGGAAGAGATACGGGCTCCACAGGAAACAAATGCAGAAGTCAAAAGAATGACACCAGCTGCCAAGAAGTCTGGGTACTGGGCCAGGAAGGGCACCTGCCAGATGCCGACATGGGCCTCGGTGAAGCTGCGGATGCGGTGGCTAAAGACAGTGTCCAGGTAGCTGCTGCCAGCGCGGGCCATGGCGGCACCACCAATGAGGCACTCAAGGAGCACATTCCAGCCAACAAGGAAGGCCCACAGCTCACCCATGGACACGTAGGTAAACTGGTAGGCAGAGCGCCTAAGGGGTACACGTTCTGCAAACTCTGTGTAGCATAGGGCTGTGAGCAGGGAGGCCACAGCAGCCACACCAAAGGACACAAGCACTGCAGGGCCGGCCGCCCCCTTGGCCACGGTGCCTGTGAGTACGTAGAGGCCCACACCCACCTTGCCACCCACACCCATCAGGGTCAGGTCCAGCGTGGTCAGGTGGTGCTGCTGTGATCTCTCCATGGTGGACTCCTCCAGTGGCTTTAGTCGGTTCAGTTTCTGGCAGAAGCGCACCAGGCTGTCGGTGCTGGGCAGTCCCCAGGCCATGGTGGGCAGCTGAGAGAACACCAAGCCAGCTGCTGGCACCTATGAGGTCCAGAAGGGAGTGACAGGCTGTCCAGCCGGGTCTTGTCCAGCCTTCAGTCCTTGTTCTGACCTTGCCCTGGGGACCCAAGCCTGGAACCACTGGCAGCTGGAGGGCTGGATGAGGCAGGCTCAGGGCCTGGGCACCAGGGCGGGCAAGAGGCCACAGGGAAGCATGAGGGCATGCCTCCTGGGCAAGGAAGGGAGTCTGGTGGAGCTGGTTCTGAGTGTGTTTGGGAGGGGCTCTGAGGGTGTGGAGGGGCAGCCCCAGGGTACCCAGAGCAGGGTGGAAACCTGAGGATTCCCCAGAGCTGGGCCAGGTCCCAGGACCTGGAACAGGAAAGACTCTGGCTCGAGTGGCCACCTGGCCTCAGACAGTGGGGTTCATCCCCCCATCCCCGGCCCCATTGGGGTATGTGTCAGCGCATGCTGTTGGGAATGGGGGGGGTGCTCTCTGTCATATACCTGACGCCAAGGACCAACCTCTCACCCCTGTGCCCTGGCACACAACCACCACACCATTGTCATAGCCACTTCCACCGTGCCCCTGTCCCCAGATACCCATGAGCCTTCAACTCCTCTCTGTCCTGAGTCTGTCTCCACAGGACTTGCTATGACTCACCTGCTGTTACCTCCACAACCATGACCTGTCTGTGCCAGCCCCCACCAATGGGGCACCAGATCCAGAACAAGGCATTACCTCCTGGTCCCATACACATTCAGCCCACCCTGCCCACTCCTCACATGGTCAAGACCGGAGCTCCCCAGGTTCTAGAGAAGCCCTATGACTGTGCCCGGTTCACAGATGAGGAAGCCCAGGCCACAGGGTAACTGACTAGCCCAGGTCACGAGGGTGGTCTGGGGATACTGATGCATTTTAAGGTCCGGGTCTGGGGTGGGGTCTGGAGACCACCCGCTTTCCACTGCTTGCAGACACCCTCCTTTATCCCTTATCCCAACACACGGACTCCACCAGCTGGGCACCATCCAGGCCCCTCAACCCTGGGAGGTGTGGGGGCTGCGGGAGTCAGGCAAGACGCTGGTAAGATGAGGGTCTGAATGTGGCTGAGAGGCCCTGGGCAGTCCCTGACCTCTGGCACAATGGGATGGCAGTAAGCCACCCTCACCCACTGACGAGGGAGCGCCCGGCTGGGGGGAGTGTTCTGTGAATGAAATGAAAGGAATCCAGATTGGAAAGGAAGAAGTAAATCTGTCTCTAGCCACAGATGACATGATCTTATATAGAGAAAATCCTAAGGAATCTACATAAGAAGTATTAGAACTAATAAACAAGTTCAGCAAAGGTCAATACCTAAATATCAATTGTATTTTCTATACATTAGCAATGAACTATCCAGAAATGAAATTAAGAAAACAATTCTGCTTACAGAGCATCAAAAAGAATAAAGTTATGTATAAACACATTTAGAATAAATTTACAAATAAATGCAAAACTTGTACACTAAAAACTATTAAACATCATTGAAAAAAATTAAAGAAGATGTAAATAAGTGGAAAGCTATTCTACGTTCATGGACTGGAAAGCTTCATATTGTAAAGACAGCAATACTCCCCAAACTGGTCTGTAGATTCTGTGCAATCCCTATCAAAATCCCAACTACCTAGTTTGCAGAAATTGTGAAATTGATGCTAAAATTCATGTGGAGATGCAAGGGACCTGGAAGAGCCGAAACAATTTTGACAAAGAACAAGGTTAGAGGACTTATGTTTTCTGATTTCTAAACTGACTACAAAGCTACAGTAATCAATGTAGTGTGATAATGACATAAGCATAGAGATATAGATCAGCTGAATAGAATTGAGAGTCCAAAAATATGGGCAATTAAATTTTAAACATTTATGGCCAATTTAAATATATGGCCAATATATTTCTTAAAAAATAAACTTTATTCTTTAGAGGAGTTTTAGGTCCACAACAAAATTGATCAGAAAGTGGAGTTCCCATATATCCCCAGCCCCTACACATGCACAGCCTCCCCCACTATCAACATCCCCCACGAGACTGGTACATTTGTTATAACTGATGAACCTACACTGACACGTCATTATCACCTACAGTCCATGGTCTACATTAGGGCTCACTCTTGGTGTTGTACATTCCATGGGTTTGACAAATGTATAATAACGTGTGCACACTACTATAGTAAGACCTAAAGATCCTCTGTGCTTCACCTATTCATGCCTCCCTCCCACTAACCCCTGGCAACCACTGATCTTTTCACTGTCTCCACAGTTTTCACTTTCCAGAAGATCATAGAGTTGTAATCGAATCATTATGTAGCCTTTTCCAGTTGGCCTTTTTCACCTAGTAATATGTACTTCAGGTTGTCTTATGTCTTCTCATAGCTTGATAGCTCCTTTCTTTTTAGTGCTGAGCAATATTTCTTGTCTGGATGGACAACAGTTATTTATCCATTCACCTAGTGAAGGACATCTTGGTTGCTTCCAAGTTTCGGCAATTATGAATAAAGCTGCTGTAAACATCCATGTGCAGGATTTTGTGTGGATATAAGTTTTCAACTCATTTAGGCAAAAACCAAGGAGTGTGGTTGCTGAATCATGTGCTAAAAGTATGTTTAGTTTTGTAGGAAACTGCCAAAGTGTCTTCCAAAATGGCTCTGCCATATTGCATTCCTGCCAGCAATGAAGGAGAGTTCCTCCTGCTCCACATCCTCGGCAACATTTACTGTTGTCAGTCTATTGGATTTCTGCCATTCTAACAGGTGTGTAGTGGCATCTCACTGTTGTTTTAATCTGCAAAGCGCTAAGACATATGATGTGGAGCATTTCATATGTTTATTTACCAACTGTGTATCTTCTTCAGTGTGATGTCTATTCAGATCTTTTGCCTATTTTTAATTGGGTTGTTGATTTTCTTACTGTTGATTTTTAAGAGTTCTTTGTATATTTTTGATAACAATCCTTTATCAGCTACGTCTTTTATAAGTATTTTTCTCCTAGTCTATGCCTTGTCTGCTCATTGCCTTGATGGCCAATTTATTCTTGACAAGAGTGCCAAAACAATTCAATGGGGGAAAGAAGAGTGTTCTCAGCACATGGTGCTGCAACAGCTGGGTCTCCACATGCAGATGAACGAGCTCAGACTCCTACCTCACACCACATGCAAAACTTAACTTAAAATGGATCAAACACCTAAATCTAGGACCCAAAACTATACAGGCATTTCTTGGATATCTTGCAGCTTCAGTTCCAGACCACTGCAATCAAATGAATGTCACAATAAAGTGGATCACATGAATTTTTTTTGTTTCCTAGTGCATATAAAAGTTGTGTTTATGCTGTAGTCTATTAAGTGTGCAATAACATTATGTCTAAAAAAGGAATATACATGCATTAATTAGAAAATACTTTATTGCTAAAAAATACTGACCATCATTTTTACCTTCAGATAGTTGTAATCTTTTTGCTGGGGGAGGGTCTTGCCTTGATGTTGATGGCTGCTGACTGAACAGGCTGGTGGTTGCTGAAGGTTGGCGTGGCTACGGCAATTTTAAAAAATAAGACACTATGAAGTTTGCTGCATTGAATGACTCTTCCTTTCATGAACAATTCCTGTAGCATGGAACGCTGTTTAGTAGTATTTTACTCACAGTATAACTTCTTTCAAAAGTGGAGTCAGTCCTCTCAAACACTGTCACTGCTTTATCAACTAAGTTTATGTAATAATCTAAATCCTTCATTGTCATTTCAACATTCTTCATGGCATCTTCACCAGGAGTAGATTCCACCTCAAGAAACTACTTTCCCTGCTTATCCATAAGAAGCAACCCCATATCCATTAAAGTTTTATTGTGAGATTGTAGCAATTCAGTGACATCTTGAGGCTCCACTTCTGATTCTATTTCTCTTGCTATTTCCACCAAGTCCACAGTTACTTCCTCCGCTGAAGTCTTAAAACCTTCAAAGTCATCCATGTGGGTTGGAATTAACTTTTTCCAAACTCCTGTTAATGTTGATATTTTGATCTCTTTCCATGAATCAAAAATGTTCTTAATGACATGTAGAATGGTGAATGCTTTCCAGAAGGTTTTCAATTTACTTTGCCCAGATCCATCAGAAGAATCACTATCTATGGCAGCTAGGGACTTACGAAATGTATTTCTTAAAGAATAAGACTTGGGATTCAAAATCGCTCCTTGATCAATGATCAAAATGACTGCCCAGATCCTGCAGAATGGATGTGGTGAAAACAACATCAATCTTGTTGAACATCTCCATCAGGGCTCTTGAGCAACCAGCAGCATTGTCAATGAGCAGTAATATTTTGAAAGAAATCTTTTTTTCTGAGCAGTCGTTCCAACAGTTGACTTAAAATATTCAGTAAACCATGTTGTAAACAGATGTGCTGTCATCCAGGCTTTGTTGTTCCATTTATGGAGCACAGCAGAGTAGATTCAGCACAATTCTTAAGGGCCCTAGGATTTTCAGAATGGTAAATGAGCAATGGCTTCAACTTCAAGCCACCCGCTGCATTAGTCCCTAACAAGAGAGTCAACCTGTCCTTTGAAGCTTTGAAGCCAGGCGTTGACTTCTCCTCTCTTAGTGATGAAAGTCCTAGCTGGCATCTTCTTCCACCATAAGGTTGTTTCATCTAAATTGAACATCTGTTGTTTAGAGTGGCCACCTTCATTAGTGATCTCAGCCAGATCTTCTGGAGAACTTGCTGCAGCTTCTGCATCAGCACTTGATGCTTCACCGTACACTTTTATGTTATGGAGATGGCTTCTTCCCTTAAATTTCATGAATCAACCTCTGCTAGTTTTGACTTTTTCTTCTGCAACTTCCTCTCCTATCTCAGCTTTCCTAGAATTGAAGAGAGTTAGGGCCTTGTGCTGGATTAGGCTTTGGCTTAAAGGAACGTTGTGGCTGGTTTGGTCTTCTATCCAGACTGTTAAAACTTTCTCCATCAGCATTAAGAGTGCTCCTCTTTGTTATCATTTGTGTGTTCACTTTAGTAGCGATTTAATTTCCTTCAAGAACTTTTCCTTTACATTCATAGCTTGGCTAACTGTTTGGTACAAGAGGCCTAGTTTTTGGCTTATCTAGGCTTTTTTTTTTTTTTGAGGAAGATTAGCCCTGAACTAACTACTGCCAATCCTCCTCTTTTTGCTGAGGAAGACTGGCCCTGAGCTAACATCCGTGCCCATCTTTCTCTACTTTATATGTGGGATGCCTACCTCAGCATGGCGTGCCAAGAGGTGCCATGTCTGCACCCGGGATCCAAACCTGCAAACCCCGGGCCACCGAAACAGAACATGCAAACTTTACCGCTGTGCCACCGGGCCGGCCCCATTATCTAGGCTTATGAGACACCTTCTTCACCAAGCTTAATCATTTCTAGCTTTTGATTTAAAGTGAGAGATGTGTGACTCCTCCTTTCAGCTGAACACTTAGGGAGCACTGCACGGTTACTAATTGGCCTAATTTCACCATTGTTTTATCTTGGGGAATATGGCTGCCTGAGGAGAGGGACAGAGATGTGGGAACAGCTGGTTAGTGGAGTTGTCAGAACACACACAAAATTTATCGATTAAGTTTGCTGTCTTATATGAGTACAGTTCATGGCAACCCAAAAAATTTACAATACTAACATCAAAGATCACTGATCACAGATCACTATAACAAATTAATAATAATGAAAACATTTAAAACATTGTGAGTATTACTAAAATGTGACACAAAGACACGAACTGAGCAAATGTTGTTGGGAAAATGGCGCCGGTAGACTTGTTTGATGAGGGGTTGACATAAACGTTTGATGGGGTTCAGGGAAGGCTGCCCCAAGATGTGACCCTCTGGTCTGTGAATTATTTAAAGCTGGAGACAATCAGGCTCAGAAGACTTTGGAAGAACATTTCATCTTCCCCCAAATTGCCTAAGAGAATTTAAGAGAGAAGGGCCTGTCCCAGGATGAGCTCTTACCATGGATAATTCTAGGTGTGGGGGGCAGGGAAGCATCTAGCAAAGGCCATTTTATCAAAAGATCTCTTTCGGGTCCCA